CTGAAGTGGCCTGCAGTGCTGCACCCTAACCACTGCGCCACCTCGGCTCTTATTAACTAGTGGAAGGGTTTTACCTTCAGAGGTTGTGAGTGCCTCCATCACTGGAGGTTTTTAAGAAGAGACTGGACAGTCATTTATCTGAAATGGTAGAGAGTCTCCTGCTTGAGCAAGGGGTTGAACTAGAAGACCTCCAAGGTCCCTTCCTGCTCCGTTCTCATCGATTGCCTTATGATCACAGTTGGGACCAGAATCTCCACTCTTAAGCAAGTTTATTGTTAAGCGAGTCATACCCAATTCTATGACCTTTTTCTTTTTGCCACGGTTGTTAAGCAAATCACTGAAGTTGTTAAGTGAATCACATAGTCATTAACCAAATTCGGCTTCTCCCATTGACTTTGCTTGTCGAAAGCCAGGTGGGAAGGTCGCAAATGGTGATCACGTGACCCAGGGACCCTGCAACTATTGTAAATAGATGCCGGTTGCCAAGCAACCAGATTTTGATCATGTGACTGCGGGGGGTGCTGCCGTGGTCGTAAGTGCGAGGATCTCAGGGATGAGATTGCAATGCGTTCCCATCTCAGAAGAGGAGGGCATTTTTCTGTCATTTGTGCTCATGTGTGTCATTCTTACACAACGACACAAAGTCTCTCAAAATATGACTGACCCTTCCTGGATATTTAATCTCGCAATTCTGACAGGGATGAGCAATTATGGCCTCCTTTACAACCTATGGACTTCAACTCCCAGAATTCCTGAGCCAGCATGGCTGGCTCAGGAATTCTGGGAATTGAAGTCCACAAATCATAAAGGGATCACAGGTAATCCTCAATTTATGGCCACAATTGAGCCCAAAAATTCCTGTTGTTCAGCAAGAAAATTGTGAGTCTCGCCCCCTTTTACGACTTCTATTGCCACCTTCGTTAAGTGAATCACTGCAGTTGTTAAATGTGTATCGTGGTTGTTGAATCTGCTTCCCCCACTGCTTGTCGGAAGGTCGCAAAAGAGGATCGGGAGACTCCAGGACACTGCAACCGGCATAAACGTGAGTCAGTTATCAAGCATCTGAAGGTAAATCATGTGACCACGGGGATGCTACCATGGTCGTAAGTGTGAAAAGCGGTCATAAGTCACATTTTTCAGAGATGTCATAACTTTGAACGGTCAGTAAGTGAACTGTTATTAGTCAAGGACTACCAGCGTAGCTACCGACCCGGATTGTATCTTTATTTTAAGGAATCCATTATGAAACATAAACACTTGGGATGAATCTTTTTTCAGTTTACCTTAATGTCACCTTTTGCATCGAGAAGCAGTACTCGTTAATGCCCGTCGTGGGCACGCGAGTTCTCAGAATATCCTGGGCGTTTGGCATATACCCCTCAGAAGCAATGCGATCCAGATTCGAAAGGAAACTGAAACAGAGACACACCGGTCACTCTGGGCGATGCACGGAGAAATATGAAAATGAGTGGACACACCTCTCTAGTGCAGTGCCTTTCAAACTTGGCTACTCTAAGATAGGTGGACTTCAACTCCCAGAATTCCCCAGCCAACCTGAAATCTGGGAAAGTTGTGGTAGAATGGAATTGAATAGAGTAGAATAAGAATAGGAATAGGAATAGGAATAGGAATAGGAATAGGAATAGGAATAGGAATAGGAATAGGAATAAGAATAAGAATAAGGAATATAGAATGGAATGGAATAGAGTAGAATAGGAATAGGAATAGGAATAGGAATAGGAATAGGAATAGGAATAGGAAGAATAGAATAAGGAATATAGAATGGAATGGAATAGAGTAGAATAAGAATAGAATAGAGCAGAGCAGAGCAAAACAGAATAGAATAGAATAGAATTATTTATTGGCCAAGTGTGATTGGACACACAAGGAATTAAATACATAAAAGTTATGTATCTTATCTTATTCATCTATATCTATATCTATAGCTATAGCTATAGCTATATCTATCTATCTATCTATCTATATATATATCTCTATCTATCTATATCTATATCTATATCTATATCTATATCTATATCTATATCTATATCTATATCT